AATGTAACTAAATTGAAATAATTTTAAAGGGGACATATGATGCGATTTCAAGTTTTCCTTTCTCTTTGGAGTGTTACGAGCTGATTGTGCATAGATAAGATCCCTGAAGTTGCAAAGACTAAAGTCTCAAAACCAAAGAGATATTCTTTATCAAAGTTAAGACTCTGCCACGCCCCCCTAAAATGGCTCGTTCTAACACGCCCCCACATAATCTACCTCACTGTGTGGAAATATTTGCATAATGCCACACAAATGTGCACGCAAAGAAAGAAGGCGTGGTTTCAGTAACCGCAGTTAGTGTTGAAACGGCATGTCAGGGAGACGCTGTGTGTTTCAGTGCGAAAGCAAAAGCACTTTATTTGGCCTTCCAGAAGTAGATGCATTTAGGAATCTTTAAGATTACTTACAACAGAACAGCAATGCATTTTATGGACGACCGTTTCGTGAACCTAGGAGAGGAGGTAATTCTGACTTTGCTATGACAATCTGGCGCTTCTGAATCAGCTACTGTTTTGTTATTAGTTTAAGTATTTGCTATTGACTGTTCAAATGCGGAGTTTTGCGCATCGTGTGTGTGTGCGAGTGCTCGAGAGCGAGAGACATCACAGTGGAGTCAGCTGTCTTAACTGCGTGTGCTGCAAACACATTCATCACTGTGTCTGTCACGCGACTCTGTTCCCCTTTCGGGCTCTGTTTTTACATTTATTTTGAAAGCTGAAGCTCGCGATTATGCTCGGGGGCGTTACATTTCTGACGAGTGCTTGCGGTGTTCGCCAATCACAATGCACTGGGTCAGCTGGCCAATCAGAGCAGACTGCACTTGTCGGAAGGAGGGACTTTGTAGAAAACAAAGCGTTTGAGAGAGGCGGGGCATATTGGACTTATAATAATGTACAGTATTTGAAAAATTATGTTTTTTGAACATTAAAGCGTGTCAACATATTCTGTTACACCAAATACACAAAATAATGATCTTTAAAAAAGCATCATATAACCCCTTTAAGACATTTTGGGGTTCTCCTTTGGAAGTTTGCCAAGGCCTCCTTGTGGGCTTCTGGTTGAGAGCCACTGCTGTAAAGGTCATGGTTCAAGTTGGAATAATGTTTTCTAGTTTTACTTCTGGGAAAAATTTTTATAATTTGGACAATTTTTGATGACTATTTTTTGACTGTGTGTGTATATATAATAAACGCTTGGAATTTTTTAAAATTCTACTGTCATTGTCATTTGAGCAGGACAGCCTGTATGAATGTTGATGCTAATGGCAAACGATTTGTCCATACTTGTTGGTTAAGGCATGTACAGCGAGGAACTGCTATCCCTCACCTCTGAACTACTACAACTTTCCCAAGTCCTGCTGCACCTCTGTCAATGAAGTCATCTGTCATGGGATACCTGACCGCCGTCCCCTCCAGGATGAGGACATACTGAATAGTATGTATCAGCATACAGTAGTATATGAATGCATCTTCCTTGCAAGACTTTTATGGGATATCTGGTTTTTGCCCTCAAGAGGGCTGTTATAGAATAACACACTCCCTCTATATTGACATTATATTTCATATTTCAGTCAGTCCAGATGTCAGATAGACAGTCACTGGACATTTTAGATTTGTGTGAGACTGATTTTTCCACATGTTCACATTTCTGTGAATGCATTGGCTTGTTCTTGCAGAACTCTGTCCAGACTGATGTTTTTTTCCTTCTGCTCAGTTTAGGTCCCATTGTCAAAATGCCATATTATTAAAGCTGTTTATTCTTGTTACTGTCATAATAGATAAGCAAAAGAAACAAATGACCAGTGACATGTAGATCTCTTTATTCCTTGCTACATGTTTTGTCATTGGTCAATGGCCACCTTAATTTAAATATCATAGGCTACAGCAACAATAAACTGAGAACTACTTCTATTTACATTTAATGCCAAATTTACACTAAACAGACCTTATACTGAAGGCAAGATCCAGAGCCAGATGGAATCTGCAGCCTTTTTTTTTTTTTTTTGCTTTTGCACAGATTGTGAAAGTCTGTGCAATGGGTTTCTGTTAAATGACGAGTAATTTTCTCATAATAGTAGCTGAAAGCATAATCATATTTTGTGTCGGTTTGTGTAGTTTTCTACAGAGTTCTGAGTAACATATGCAGAAATAATCTTCAGACTTAAGGAAAATTGCACTAAATGTTACATGTTCACTTGGCTAATCATATGTAATTTTTTTCCCCCTGTAGTCGACATAACAGTTTACCACAATGGTTACCATGGGGATCTGAATGAAACCTTTTTCGTGGGTGAAGTAGATGAGGGAGCCAAGAGATTGGTTCAGACCACTTATGAATGTCTAATGCAAGCCATCGACTCTGGTGAGTATGAAAGCACATGCAAACAACTAAACCATTCAACAGACTCCATGTGATTTGAGTTTGATTCATTTTTGTTGGGCTATTTATGTAGTGTACAGTGTATTTGTGTGATGTACACTAATGATCTTTAGAGGGCAGACTTGTACAGAGGGATATCTTTGTTGTGACCTGAAGAAGGTTGTTTCTGTCTTGTGTCTAGTGAAGCCTGGTATCCGTTATCGTGAGCTGGGAAACATCATCCAGAAACACGCGCAGGCAAGCAGTTTCTCTGTGGTACGGAGCTATTGTGGCCACGGCATTCACAAACTGTTCCACACGGCACCAAACGTACCGCACTATGCCAGTGAGTAACATCTTGTCAAAAAGACACCGTCTGAATGATACAAGCATTGAGCACTGAGATGTAATTGAACCTGCAGAAAGCTTGTACACTTAAAGCTTGTACTGTCCTTGTTTTATATGTCTTTACAGAGAATAAAGCAGTAGGAGTGATGAAACCTGGCCATGTGTTCACTATTGAGCCCATGATCTGCGAAGGTAGAAGACAACTCACAAAACAATTTCCTTAAATCTTAATTGTGCACTTATTGTTTAGAATTTTATATATATATATATATATATAAGAAAGTAATTTTTAAAAATAGGGCTGTCAAAATTAACGCATTCAAACATGCAATTGTTTTGTTCATTTACTCTACCCTTCAAAGCTTTAGGGTCAGTAAGATTTTGATTTTGTAAATAATTAATACTTTTATCCAGCAAGTATGTATTAAATTGTGACATAGTGTTCCTGTGGCTCAGCAGCGCAAAATGTCGTGGGTTCAATTCCCAGGGAACACGCATACTGGTAAAAAATGTATAGCCTGAATGCACTGCAAGTCGCTTTGGATAAAAGCGTCTGCTAAATGCATAAATTATTATAATTATTAAATCGATCAGAAGTGAGAGGCATGTATGTTACAAAAGATATACCTTTGTAATAAATACTGTTCTTTTGAACCTTCTATTTGTTGAAGAGTCCTGAAAAGAGAATATCTTATGGTTTCCCAAAAATATTAAGCCATTTGGTGCTCAAATTAATCAATTAAACTGTTTTCAAAATTGATAAGAAGAAATGTGCTTGAGCAGCAAATCAGCACATTAGAATGATTTCTGAAGGATCATGTGACACTGAAGACTGGAGTAATGATGCTGAAAATGCAGCTTTGCCTTCAAATGAATAAATTACATTTTAAAATATATTCAAATAGAAAACAGTTTTTCTATTGTAAAAAATATTTTGCAATATTACTGATTTTACTGTATTCCTGTTCAAATAAATGCAGTCTTGGTGAGCATAAGAGACTTATGAAAAAAATATTTTTCAAACCCCAAACATTTGAAAAGTAGTGTAAAACAAAACTTTACTTTTTTTTTTTTATGCTCAGTGTTCCTGTGTATCATGCGCACAAACTGCTCGACCTGACAATTGCACATGCAAGTTTTCTTCTTTTAACATATACTGTTAACTATACAAATGTGAGATTTGATGATTAAATATTGTAATCAATTGAATATTTAAGAGTCTTTGCTCTGTGCAGGTGGCTGGCAAGATGAGACGTGGCCAGATGGTTGGACTGCAGTCACTCGTGACGGTAAACGCTCGGCACAGTTTGAGCACACGCTCCTCGTGACGGAGACAGGCTGTGAAATCCTCACACGTCGCCTTGAGGATAATGGCCGTGCTCACTTCTTGTCCCAAATGTAGGATGGTGGGGTCATACGAGCCCTATTCTGCAGTGGAGGAAACAACAGCTCCGCCCCATATCACCAATCAGCCAATCACACAGTGGTTCTCTGTTGGGCAGGAGACGATTGGCCACGTGGCCGTGACAATGGATTTGGGCAGGAGGTGGAGAATTATTAACTTCTGAATGTGTCACCTGACAGTCACATTAATCAGCTTGGATCTGAGTACATTCAAAGGCACTGGCCTTTAACCTGGTTACAGTGCCGCCACACTCTGTCTACATGGCAAAGGTATCTGTGTGAGTGGTTTTGCGTGTGTGCACCTGTGTGTTTGAGAGAGAGCGCGCTGACTGTGTGAGGTTTGCTTTCTCAGTCTGCTTCAGTGTGTTTGTCTGCCTGGCTCGTTGCAGTGTACCGTGTTTTTGTTAGCCATTGTTGGGGTTTGAGATGCAACGAGTGGATGTGATAAAACACTGGAGTCGCTCCAAATCTTGATTGATATATGAAAACTCTTTATAGCTAAAAGAGTGCCTCGTAACGTTATTGAACATTGTATAAATGTTTTTCATGAACTTCTTCCAGTGTCTTGTTTGAGTGACTGTCTATGAACACCTAGTGTCCTTTCACTGCAGTCATCCTTAGTCAATGAAAAGATGATTTTTGTTTGTCTTTGGTTGTTTAATGCCACTTAAAGAGCAATGCAAAAAGCAGTTGCAGGCCTCTTTGTCTGTTTGAAGCATCTCATGAAATCAGTTTCAGTATTCAAGCTGAATTAAAGTATATTTTCTCCTTTTATTTTTTGTGATTTAAAAAAATTTTTTTTTTTAATTTTTGTAATTTACAACAAATGCCAAACATCAGATAATCATCACAAATGAAAGAAATTTCAGCAGTGACTTATGAAAGCAACTGAAAAGATCATCCAAGAGATTCATCTGTATTGAATTCTTGTTTGTTTTTGATGAAACATAATTCACTTTTTAGCCAGGCATAAGATTCGTTCCATCACTTCAGTTCTTTCTACACCTTTCAGAAATAGTTACAGTGCTTTAAAGTAGTTTTGAGTGTGTCTGCGGTAAGTCTGAGCAATCTGTTCCCATCCGATTGTCTCAAACTGTGGCGTAGAAGTTGAGTGGAGATTAAATGATTGGATATATTCAGTATGCATCGAATGCTGTAAGATAAGGGGTTTAACCTGAGGTAAAAAAGTGAGAAATGTACCATTGTCCAGTCTTCATGAGGTTGATAGCATCATTGGTCTGCTCCAGGTCCATTTTGTGGGTTATAAAGTAGTCGAGCTTTATTTTGCCAGTCATGTAGTCACTAACCACCTTTTTCACATAAATGGAAATGAATACATGCACAGGCATGTGCTCTCAAAGCCATAGAAAGCATTAACTGACAGCTGGTTTACCTCCTAATAGGGTTCCCTTCCAGGTTTTCCCAGATATGAGTTGAATTTGTCGTGCTGAAAAGTCTACATCAGTATAGCCAACCAAAATACTCATACCCCAACCTTTTACACAGGACTCCAGTGCAGTTTTCTGAGGTCAAAAACATATTAAATTCACACACACAAAAAATTCAAGTACTGAAAGCTTTTAAATGAGTTAAAGTGAGACTCAAGTGAGAAATCCACTCCTCCATTGGTCATTTCTGCCAGTACTTCAGAGATGGGTTTATTATATGCCTTCGGATCCAGAAAATCAGTGGCACCAAAGACCTTTGCCTTCTCAAACTTCTGCTCATTAATATCCACAGCAAAGATGCGAGAGGCTCCAGCGTTTTTACAGCCCATGACTGCAGCCAGACCTACTGCACCCAGTCCAAACACTGCACACACTGAGCCTGGTGTAACCTTCACACAAATGAGTTACTAGTGTAAGGCACCTTAATATTCACCTTACCGTTCAAGACACAACTATTTGAACACTTAAATTGCAAACTCACATTATTAAAAATTTATGAATTTTCTTGAAAAATGGCATCTGCACTTTTTTTTGTCTTATTTTTGCCTTCTCCATTAAAAATTCTAGTGGCAACATATGCACTCGAATAATTAGCATGCAGTACTAACCTCGGCCACCAGGTGACAATATCAGTATGTCGAAATATAAAGCATTTGAATAGTGTAATTACAAGAAGTTTTTGAAAATCTTAAGACAAAATGTTATGTAATGTTAGACAGTCTTCTAATGCGGCAAATCTCCCAAGTTAAAAGTTGTTCACCCAAAAATAAAAAAAATTCTCATAATTTAGGCTGCGTTTACACTCAAATATTCAAAAACATACTCAATAATGCAATCAAGACTTTTGAGAGGAATTGATACTAGTCTCGCATAATCAGACCTTCAGACTGACGGCTGAAGGTCTGGAATCCATGGCAGTTTTCACTGACCAAGGCCCGTCCATGAGGCCGTTTGACCGACATGTCAAACAAACAATCACAGTTCGTTTCGTTCATCGTCACGTTTCGGGGCGTGGAAATGTCGCCACAATAACAGTATAAAACTCGTATTTTAAAGATTCTATGCCGCGAACTTTACATTTTTACATTGAAAATCCAGTTGATCCTGATAATCACAAGTTGTCACAGCTGTAAACACGATGGCTTTCTTCTTTCATGAAGGGGTTTGGTGTCACGGCATCTTTGTTTCCAGGCGGAACGTTAAAGAACGCGACACACACGTCTCCCGGAAATCCTGTATAATTCAACCAATCTGATGACGACTTCGAAACTCCTGAAGTGTTTCCACTTTTGTGTGCCATATGCATCAGACGTTTAGCCAGCGGTCCGTGGGTGTGACGTCTGAGGCTGAGACTAAGTTGATACATAATTCAGTCATTTATCGTACTGTGTGTTTAAAGTAATATCTGATATATTAATTAATGGAAAAAAAGAAAAGAAAGAAAACTCAAATAAGGCTTAATTCTTTGACTTGACCTTGAAAATGAAATGCTTTTGTGGCAAACATGGAAACAAGCAGGAAGGATGAACAAATGAGATGGACTAACCAAGATACAATTATATAAAAAAAAATTAAATAAATATATATATATTTTTTGGAGAGTGCTATTGATTCTGTCAAAGATACTAATCATACAAACAAGGCAGACATCAACTGTGCTGACTTTGTGTAAATATTAAATGTATAACTTGACTGTATTGTTTCTTTAAAGGATAGGACATGAGGCATAGAGACCATCCTGGCCAGCCATCGTCTTTAAGAGGATTTGGGCTCAAAGTTAATTTGCTTGATTTGTTCATTAATAGTGAAAGAGAACTCTCATTCAGAGAACAAAAAGAGAACACTCATACAGAGATGAAAGCCCCTTATCCCAATACACACACACACACACACACCTGTAAACAGGTGTTCAAAACTGTTATCTCCTTATCTCAATTTACTATTCTAAGCCAATAATACCGATTTATATTATGAATAGGTCTGATTTGGTTGGAAATTTTAGATTTACATCATTCATCCTTGCTATTTATATCAAAAGTTTTCCTCTGTCCTTTTCTTCAAGTAATTTTAAATGCAAAGACTTTGGCCTCAGTTAATGAATTACACAAAAAGAAAAATATCATGTTACATTTTTACCATATTACCTAAAAGTGACCCAAAAGACATAATCTGCCAATAAATGCCAACACTGAAAAATTAGGCAGAATAACTGAAAGAAATTACATCCATGCATCTTCATGATTTTCAAATGGGTCACATACAGTATCAAGGTCAGCAGATGAGGTGTGTGTGTGCATGCCATGTGAGACAACATGAGAGTCTAGGAGTCTATCTGAACTGAACACTGTGTCCTGGACTGAAGTACTAGTTGTAACTAACGCGTATTTACTGTATGTTACGAAATTTAACAAAATGTTAATGACTAAATAAAAAGTAGGTCAGTACACTTAAATCAAATGGTGATATATGGACGTCTGTGAATATTAAACGCAAAAAGACTATTTCAAAATTAATTCACACTCGTCTTGCGTCTTTGTGGTCTCTGTTTTCCTTTATCTTTCTGTATTCCTGTTAGTGAGTTTCTCGTGTAACCCATTGTTGACATGAGAAACACAAACATTTTGGCCCCCTCCAGAATCATGAAAACTGCTCCAAGTTCAAGTATAACACTCTCTAGCGTCCCAGTGTGGACTGCATGCTGTGAATGTGCAAAATGGTGGCAGATAGAAAGCGCCTCAAAAGCGTTCTGATTGGCTAAACAATGAATCACTCTTTATTTTATAAATATCACTTTTTAAGACAGTTGTGCTGCCTAATATTATTGTGGAAACAGTTATATATATATTTTTTATCCTTTGATGAATAGAAGTATTAATTAATTATGAATTAATTGATGAATAAAAGTATTATGTATCAAAGTTTCCACAAAAATATTAAGCAGCATAACTGTTTTCAGCATTGATAACAATGAAACTGTTTCGTGAGCAGTAAATCAGCATATTAGAATGATTTCTGAAGGATCATGTGATACAGAAGTCTCAAATTCAACTTTGCATCACAGAAATAATTTAAATTTTTAAATATGTTTAAACAATTATTTTAAATTGTAATATTTCAAAATATTACTGTTTTTACTGTATTTTAAATTGAATAAATGCAGCCTTGGTGAACATAAGAGACTTCTTTCAAAAACATTTTAAAAAGCTAATAATTAGATAAGATAATAATTTAAAAAAAGATTTTTTTAAATAATAAAAACAAATCTGTTGTGGTCTGGTATTGCTTAATTATATTGACATGTTTGCAGTACACGCTCTTAAAAATAAAGGTAGGCTACTTTATTGGCATCTAGATCCATGAAAAAACTTTAACATCCATGGAACCTTTCAAATGCACAAAAGTTTCTTTATAGTGAAAAATTATTCTTCAGATTACTAAAATGTTCTTCAAGTTCACACTAAAAAAAACTGTTCACTGAAAGTTTCTTCTATAAGGCACATGCGAAAATTGAAGCTGAAAGCTCAAGAGTCAGTGTGCATGAAAATTCCAGGAGACTACAATTTCTGAAGGATCATGTGATACAGAAGTCTCAAATTCAACTTTGCATCACAGAAATAAATTACATTTTTAAATATGTTTAAACAATTATTTTAAATTTTAATATTTCAAAATATTACTGTTTTTACTGTATTTTAAATTGAATAAATGCAGCCTTGGTGAACATAAGAGACTTCTTTCAAAAACATTTTAAAAAGCTAATAATTAGATAAGATAATAATTTAAAAAAAGATTTTTTTAAATAATAAAAACAAATCTGTTGTGGTCTGGTATTGCTTAATTATATTGACATGTTTGCAGTACACGCTCTTAAAAATAAAGGTAGGCTACTTTATTGGCATCTAGATCCATGAAAAAACTTTAACATCCATGGAACCTTTCAAATGCACAAAAGTTTCTTTATAGTGAAAAATTATTCTTCAGATTACTAAAATGGAGGGAAGAAATGTGGCACCCTCAAAAAGCCTGGACTCTACACGATCATCTCCCACTACACTAAGTGGATTGACAGTAAAATCACCCAGTAAAAAAAATAATAAAATTTGAAAACAGTTAATCCTAGAAAGCTTTTTTCAAGCCGGAGAATCCTTTGCATGACATTTATATTTTTATAGGCACTGTACATGTACTGCTGTTTTCTACATTAATAAAAACTTTTCTACATCTACCTAAATATGCTCACTGTTGTTTTGTTTGTTCAAAAATGTAATTGTACTCAAATGGGTCTATTAGAAGTAATAGAAATTATAAATGTATCTACCAAACAGTTATAATTAAAACAAAATTACGGCTTATTTCTGAATTTCCAGTAAAATTATCTCCCCCCATTCACTGCAAGATTTCGTCCCGTCCTATGTAGCCTAGAGTCACTGAGTGAGATCAGATGGTAAACTGTCAAATTAGAGATGTCTTCGAGTTCGAGGGGGAGGGGGCAAAGCGAGCCGGATGATTTGGTCAGTCGCACTTTTAAACACATTTTAGTTTTGCAATAGAAAATCTACAAATTCACAATTACGGCTGCGCTTCTATGTTGCCACACTAAACTTAGCAATAAACAGTGGTGGAAAGAGTACTGAAAAACATTATCTTATTTGTCATAAAATTGAAGAGTATCTATCATCCAGCAGTATTAATTTTGACTGCCAGCTCTTTAAAATACATCAAAACAGCATGGAAACAGTATTCAGTTGAAGAAAAGATTTAAGTTATTCTCAGTACAATCATCCCCATTTAAATCATAAAATTTGATTTAAAATCATGTGTAAGGCCACTGAGACAGCACGCTGCTGTTGCACATAAAATATTAATGTTTAGAACAGTGCAAATACAAACACCATTAGAAACTCATAGTTCAGCATTCACACACCATGATATGGGTTAAAATGAGAGCCCATTTCTCTTCAAAACGGTGTCAGTTTGAGTGTTTTGCAATAAAGAAATAAAAATAACTAAACTTGATAATTTATGTTACAATTTTAACATAAATGCACATTGTTCTAGAAGGATGGCAAATTGTTATGCTGATAATACAATTTGTAAGGAAAAATGCATTAAATAGCGAGTTATTTCTGGGGAAA